AATCAACTACAGCTTATCCCGTATATGCTACTTGTATTTAGATAAAGTAGAAAATGATTATTTAATTAACAGACGAAAGAACACTATTTTTTATACCTTGCTGAAGTAGTTGCCACTAAAAATATTCGGACTAAACTCATGTATTCAGAAAGAAACAGCTGTCAATCTATTAATGCTATAGTAGACTGAGATTTTTAATAATCTTTACTCCGATTCTAACTACTGACATTGTTATACAACTATCATTTGGTTCAGTAATATTTTAGCTTGTAATCCGAGCAATATTTAACTAACTCCTTGATGATATAAACACTGTTTTTTCGTATTTAAGTTCACTAAATGTTTTTAGTATAATTAAGAAAGTTTATTATGAAGTCTGAAAAAAACGTTTACTGAAAGTCCCAATCACTTAACTGTCCTCAGACAACTCGTTCTCATCCGCCTTGAATTCAAAGAAGATGAGATTGTAGTTAGAATTGATGGAAAAGTAACATCCCTAAGGCCTAAGCTGTTTTATTTTATTGATATCAAATACATTCTAAGCCAATGAAAAGTGAGTCAATACCCTTTCAAGTTTACCTCCAATAACATTTCTGAATTTACATGTACGTGTGGTGGCAAGTACATAGAAATAATTAAGAGAAAGAGGATCTATAAGGTTTTCTAGACATGTTTGTCTAAACCTATTTTTCATTTCAAAAAAACTCAAGTGTTCACAAGCTCAATAACTAGACACTTAACGGGTAGTTCATTTAAGGTTGATACGAAAAATGCGTTCATAATAGTTAGCAAGCAACGGATGCTGACTCTACTAACCTTTGTGAAAGGAACTGTTATTGAACAATTTTAACCTGAACTTTGTACATAGGAAGAAAGTGTGACGAATATCCGATCCCAATATTAAAATTATTCTAATGGTGTAACATTACCTATTATATATTATTTTATTTATATTTTACGTATTAACAATTACTCTTGATGTTCTTTTAACAAAAATAGGTGGCTTCATTATATAATTAGTTATTATTAAAATAATTACTTTAAGACGTATTGTGGCAAACAGTAGAATCTAGGACTGCTTGTGGCTTGTCAGCTGAATATACTTTCATCCAAGAGTTGATGTCCTCTCCGAGACTCGAACCCAGTACTGTTCACTTCAAACGTCATCACATTATTCACTTAGTTACTGAGTTCAGTTAACCACTTGCTTTTGCAGTGGGGTGAGCATGTCAAACTAAAACATGACTTCAGTACATGAAATCGTCACTAGGTTATTACCGTAACCAGCTTTTTTAAATTGGTCGGAATGGTATGAACACATCCACTTTGTCTTTCCTCATATTTTGAGTTTCTAGATTATTTTATACCTCTTATTATGCCAATTTACTTTCCCTGACTCATATTTCTTATCCATGATCTTTTTTACTACAAGTGGCACTAATATTTTGGTATTCATAGAGAACATTTGATCTCTTTGTGCTCAGAAGCTGCCTCAGATTGAGTTAATTCACATATTTGGCGGGTATTTTTTATTGTCTATAGTTGGATGAACTATTTTCAACGACTGAGTGTATCAGAACCAGTCATTTTTATTTTATTTTAGATCTGATGGGTTGCTCTAGTGTCGTTTCAAATTTTGAATCAAACTAATATCGGTATTTACTGATCATAAGGTAATTTATCTTTATACTCAAAGTGCATATTTCGATACTCCTCGTAGTTACAATCATTAATGCAACAAAGTAGATCACTTTTAAACGATGGTTAGTGATTAAATTCACTTCATTAGATAAATGTTGTTTTAGTTCGTTTATTTTCTTACTTAAAATTCCTTTTTCCATATGTCATAGTACAAATAAATAGGAATTAGAATTGAAAAACAAATACATTCTTAACATTATCAACAAATATCTATCTAAAGATGAGATACACATGGGTTTCTTTTGGGCAGTATACAAATTGGTACTCTATTTAATGACTAATAAAAAAATAATTTCCACAATAGTGAATGGAACTGTTTTTTTTAATACACATAGAATTATTGGTCAATTTGTTGACTATTATTATACCCACTTTGTCTTCTAATATACTTATAAATACTTATCTATTTATAAACGTATATATTATATAAAAAGGAATTTGAGAGAAACTTGGATGGTATGCAGTTTTAGTAATTCAATATTTCGGGGAGAAAAAAAAGAATGTGTCCACATTTCAGTGCAAGTATTTCTTCTTAATTTAATCTCCTACCTGTTGCCACCATTAATAAAAAGCTGTTACATGGCCTAACTTGAGAAAGGATCAACTTTTACAACATTCCATTGTTTTCATTTATAACTAACCGATTATATAATGACAAAATATTTAAATATAACTAAGAAAAGAATTTCTCTTTGAAACATGAATATTTGGTTTAATGTTAAACAATTGACCATTAAAATTAACATTTAAATTATGTCTTTTTATAAATAACGTAATAAGAAATACTTCTGTAATGCTTTGATCTTTATTCTTATCAATTTGAGGAAATATTCACCAAGTTGAATTACATTGTAACACTGAAGGATATTATTACTTTATTTGATGGAAATAATGGTAATAATAATACTGTCCACATATTTTGATATTTATAATTTATAGTCACTGTAGCTATAATTGTAAATTCCTTTGTAATATTGCTTACTTGTATTGGGGATTGAACGTTATGACTTTAGATAGAGAGGTTAAATTAGTTTGGTTTCTGCTAATATAAGTAAGATATTAGTTGAACCGGTTTAATCAACACAGGCATCTTAATGTAAGATAATGACTGGTGTATAATAAGACTATGAAAGTTGTCCGAAGAAAAACAGAAATCTAACACGTGATATATGTGACCTATATAAGTTAGGAGTTCTGATTTGGAACTTGATAATAACAGATATAATTGATTTATGTCAAATGGTTGGAGTCAATTGGCAGGAATATCTGAACCTGACTTTCCTCCCAACTATCTTCAATCATGTAATATCAAAACACTGTACACAAGATATCAAGTCACGTAGACTGATGGTCATATTTAGCAAACTGGTTGACAGAATAAGGTTAATACTAAGTATTAGACAAATAAGATATTGATGACTAATCAGTTAGAAAATGCTGCCGATCAAGGCCTCAAAGAGGCCATTGAGATGACGTTTATTTGTTCAAAAGACGTCAGATAGACTCTGTGAACCCGGATATCATGGTGGCCGTTGGTAGTGCCAATCAGGCAGTATCATTAACCTCGCGAGAACGAATGATAAAATGTACTCGCTATTTGTTTGTTATTCATAGCTTATTATTATTACGAACTGACTTTAACCATTGATAAGTAGAAAGCACTAGATAGTTGTCTCATTTGAGCATGGAATTTCTCATTAGTACGCATCCAAGACAGCCCCACGGATTGAAGCTAAGGCATTCAGGCCCTGAGCAGTCTTTTAGGCTATTGAGTTGGCATCCAGCGGTTTACTTTCGTAATTCCAATAAACTCGTGGTGCTATTGGTGGATAAGTACCTCACACTCAGCATGACTGAACTTCACTGGCCATAGTTTTAGAACTACCCAAATTCTACATTCCCATTTTCTTTGCCAAGTTGTTTTTTGAGTTTTTAGCCGTTTAAGGAATGTGAATGCTTTGTTTATTTTGAAGACTGTTTTTCCATGACATCACGACTAGATGTATAGATATCTATATTAAATTGTTTTGTTAAGAGGTTTGCAAATATCTTGATATACTACCGGACACTTTAAAAGTCTAAGCGTAACAAAGTAATCTACTTTGTCAGAACATCGAAAATATCAAAAGAATGTCGTTTAACTTCCTAAGGACTCGAAGATTTAGGCCCATACTGAGGTATGCATTACTCAGTCTTTAAGGCAAAAGTTTAAACCATAGGGTAGTGAAGCGATGTCAAAAGACCTAAATGCATGGTAGTTATTCATTCCCCTAAGTTTTTAGTCTATTTGGATCACTGGTTTGAAAAATCAAGATTTCCCAACTCCCTAGGTGAACTCGTAGTATCCATATACCAGAGCCATGAATAACTTTTTGATCTTTCCAGGACACTACAATCCCACTGATGTTTTTATTTCTTTTTTGATAGATATATGTCAAAAATGTATGTTCACGTACTGAAAGTAATTACATATATTACTATGGACTTGAATCTTTTCGAGATTTCTATTGGGATTTTCTACTATGTCCTTATACGTACAGCTGAAGCCTTTACCACCGGCTCATTAGAGAATAACGTGAATGCGTACTAGTATCCTACATTGACACACAGTCTCAGCTAAAGTATATCTAAGAAAACGCATTCAGAGATAATTAGAGAAATGGAAGTATGACTCAAAGATATTAGCTAATGTTTCAAACCTTAAACACTACAAAATCAAAGCTTGTGTATAAAATACTTTTAGCAGTTTCTTTCCAATTGGTCTACTATAAAATAGCATTTATGAACGATTCTTCAGTTGTCAAAACGAAAAACAATGCTGATGTGCAATGATACGATGTAGTCGGATAATGACTACTTATGAGACCGAATCACTGACATAATAGCCTGAATGTTTCAAGATTAAAAAAGATCACTGTTCAGAATACATTTTTCTGAAGTACAATAACAAGCTTATGTATAAAATACTAAAGAAAAAATAAACATATTTAGGCATCATAATAGAAGTCAGTTTGTAGGTCGGTCACTATCTAACCGATCAAAACCGTCCGATGTATCATACCTTACGAACAAATAGTCACGTGATTAGTTCAGGACTGTTTACCAACCAGTCGATCGGTGTAAAACATCCAATAAGAATAATCAATTACAATTTCGTTTCACAATAAAGACAGCGAAATGTAAGCACATTTTTAAAAATACATATTTCTTGTCATAAAGCAAAACTCTATCTTATACAGAAAATGGGTAATAATAAATACAAAAAGTAATAGTAATGACTTTAAACCATCATCGAATACCTGTCCTTTAACAGATGATACATGCATGTAAACAAACATCGAGCCAGTAAAAACTGTACAGTACTAATATGTTCGTGATTTTTAGAATTGAAACATTTATAAATTGAAAACAATTGTGAAGATTCTACACGTATTTGAATAATATCTGACGAATCATTATTATTATTATTACTATGTATAGTTTTTATTGGGGCTGATATATTTGTTAAATGATTAGATTTCACAGGAAGAAAAGAGAACGTAATATTGGATTGATTTTCAAACATTTGATAACTTAAATAAGTTGTCCAACGATTAGTTGATTGATTAGTCCATTTTACTAAAGTTTCTATTGATGGACAATTAGTTGATATGGATAATTGACTTGTTGGTGTATTGTTAATATTGGATGATAAAAATGCTAGAAGATAACCCATGATTACAGCTTGATGAACATTACGAATATCTAAGCTATGGATTGTAGTAAATGAAGAAGTTGATAATGGTGCGATAGGCCGGAGAATAACATCAGTACTTGCTCCAAGATAGTTACTACATAGAATGTTGTCTTTAATTATATTAGAACAATTATATGCCTAAAAAGTAAATAAACGAGCAAGAGAGATGATAGTAAATGAAAGGTAATGAAGTGAGACACTATCAGGTGCTTAATCATCCAATGGTTATTGAAGTTAAGTAATTAAAAGCAATCGATAAAAAGCTTTAGATTTATATTGATCGACTTCCAACAAAAAATCGAGTCAGCAATCTTGAGGGGACTAATTATACTCCTTATGGGATTCGAAACTGCACCATTCAAATCCAGACCTTCTTCGTGGTTGTCTCAACGTACCTACCATTAAACCAGTGTATTAGATGTCAAATCATATAGACTAAACATAAATAGTGATAGGATATTGGGTTTATAGGTTACTTACTAATCTGAGAAACCGAGGTGCCCAACATACTAGTTGCCTTACAATTGCTTAAATCTTTCAATCCACGGTATTCTAATAAGCTTAATATTTAATTAGTTTATTCGTCAATGCAATTTAATCTACAAGTATCCAGAGAATGGAGAATATGGAAAAAGGAGCGAGAGATTCAATAGGTGGACTCTGTAGAACAGGTTAATTCTTTAGTACTTTAATTAATTTTTTGCAGTAAGTGGTCGTTGAAATTAATTTGTAAAAGAAAACTCTGCTAGGTATTTCCGCTTAATACATTGTTGTGAATAAAAGCACTAATCAGCATGGCACGATTCTATATCGAAAACTAGAAAGTGACCAGCTATAGTTCATATCAGAAGTTATTTTTGAAAAGATTGCTTAAAAGATTATTTACCTTTTCATTTATCACTAAGATGAATATGAAGGTTGGAGGAGTTCTAAAGATGTGAATTTATTACCCATTATTCCATGGACAAGGAAACCATATCCGTCTACAAGAACATTAGCAAGACTAAGTTGATTGTAGCTAATATTTTGATTCTCATTAGGAATACGTACACTGGAATTTGATAGATTGCCATCTGTATTGAGAAAAATATTCGTATAAGTGGCTATAGAGTTGCTGTCAGTAAACGAGAGCTTAGGTAGTGTGGTAAACAGATCTTCAATACCACGAATTATACATTCTGGATTACGGCTCACAAACTTAGATCTCCATGATGAGAGAATATGTTTTCGATAAGAATGATTCATGGTGAAAACGGGAAGGTAGGATGGGGGTAAAAATTCTTGTTTAATGGACTCTGTACACAAATATCCGATGAGGTAGCCCATAAAACCCGCACGTACCAATGAGGCTGAAGATAATTTAGAAGACACATACACTAAGGCGAATTGACTACTGGTCAATTTTCCAGATGAGCAAATATCATGTACCAAACGTTGAGTGGTAGCTTTGAACTATATAGTAAAAAATTTGAAAATAAGTAATTCTAATGCAACAGGAAACTCACAGAAGAGAATATAAAATTTTTTAATTTTACTCAGGTTACAAAGAGATGCTTTATTTACTTAAAATATAGAGCTGTCATTAATCACCTAAAAAAAGTATTTTCAACCACTGAGTCACTAGTCTATACCATATTTTATCAACCAAAGTTTCAGTAGCTTTGATGTGTGAATAAATGTTACGTAGTAAATACATGTGACTTACAGACTAGTACAAAAACCTATAAGTGCATGCTAAGTATCATTATTTGTTTTATAATACTGTTAGTAATATAAACAATGGTAATAACCACTACTTGAAGCATAGCATGAATTAAAACCAAAAGATGTCCAGCTATACCCAACTTATCTACATACTCAACATATTTAGTAAACTAGTATTATATCTTAAAAGGATGTCAGATTAAAATATGCTTTCAACAAATAGACCGCATGTTCTAACTCCGCTCCATCGTCTTCAATGCACTTAGCAGTCATCCAACTACACTATGACTAGAAATTAAGTGCATAAACCTTCACTCGGTGAGTTAAGTTACTTAGTTATCACCTTTTCCATTCCACTTGGGAGTAAACCTTAATATTTTCAGGAACACGCTTCCATACAAAATAATCTTCAAAGGTTAGATTTTTAATTTAAAAAGAATGTGAATGTATATAAAGCTGTGGCTCGACAGCTAAAGCGCTCAACATGAGTCGTAATTTTAAATACCGGTCCATCTGAGTTAACTTGCGTGGACAAATAATCTAACTTAGCTTACGAACAATAAGTGCGACTGAAAGCTTAATACGGAAACTTAGTTGACCGTTGATTTGTATTTCTGTTAGCGGAATATGGATTGGATTAAAGGATATTCCGTGCAAGATTATGCTGGGGCACATTGATTGACTATTTTTTTATCTAATCAGCGGTAGCAGATACTTGGAGAAGACTCTAGAATCTTTTCATTCAAAAACTATAAATATATTCCTACTTCCATCTACTCTTGTTATTTAGAATAATAATTACGTTCGTGTTAAACCGTTTTCTGATTTGGGGCCTTGTCGAGTGAGTGTCTAAGAATACCAAGCAATAGTAGCTGGGTCGTAATAAGAAAATTATAACAATTACTATTGATAGCTGATAGGTGGCTGTACTGATATACTGAGTAATTTTCATTTAGTCAAAAACCGATCTTCCTCCCTTATACATACTTTGTTGATTTAATATCTTGAAGTAGTTGCGTCACTAATTTGACTAAAATTTACAGCTAGTTTTCAGCATTAGTGTCTACTAATCGATGATAGCTTGTTTGCTGTTCGATTTAAGTAATTACATCAAGAGAACAAAATTAAGACACCTAGATGATGGATGAAGTATTTATTTAGAATTACAAATATTTGAATACCGGGTTTCCAAACGAATTTCTAATTCTGTGTCCACATAAGAACGACGAAACAATATAAACACTAGACAGCATACGTGGTGATTTTTAAGTTTTATTATCTACTTTACATTTTGAACGAAGTGACCTCTAGTGCTTTTAAAGATATCAGGGTGGTTATCACTTACCAGTTGCTAATACTCTGAGGGGATACTTCTTCTTGAAGTAAATATAAAGGAAACTGGGTGAGGAGTGATTTTGACGACCTCGAATGAAACTTAAGATTATACAAATTAGAGCTTATTTGCGGTAAAAACAAAATGATAAATCACTGATAAGTATAATAATTAGAAATTGTTAACGCTGTCCGTTTATTGGTTACACTATTTGATTGCGAACATTTCATTATCTAGAAAGTTGTACTAGCATTTACACATTTACTTACAGAGACAGACTGGCATATCAATATTGTTGTAGATACGAAATTTTCGGTTAAATTAAGTAGAGGATAATATGTAGTGGAAATAAACCCCAGCTACTAGTGCTTTTGTAAAAATAATTCATACTTTGGACTTTAGATCACTAATATAACCAATGAACTTAACTATTTAGTTATAGGTAACACTCTGTTGTATTTAATTTGGTTTGACGAGTCCATTATTATAGTCATTGTGCATATAACAGACATAACTTGGTTAGATTCTAGAATAAACGAACATTTTTTAAGGAATACGCTTTGATGAATTGTTTTACCACACTTTGCCATAACGTCTAAAGTAAATTATTGACCCCCGCTCTCCCTCTCAAAATATTCTCACACGGCCACGCGTATACAGCCTCTGCCAGGGAAGTCCTACTCATTGCCTTCTCGTGGCGGGGGTGTTGTTTACGAAAATGAGAGGACGAAAAGCGAATGTCCGGCGCTTTAACCGGATTCCAAATCAATGGTGCACATGGGCTCCAATATCCTGCGGGAACAAATGGCGTATGAACCAGTCGTTGGTCACCGGCTACCATGGGACTGCATCTCCTTACGATGCTCCACTGCCTTGTGGGTTAGACCTTTAGGTCAAAGGCTCGGGGAGTGGCCCCCTAAGATAACCACCTGCTTCGGTTTGGGCACCCGGGCAGTATCACAGCCCACACACAAATTGATGAACTCTTTATGCCTATGGAAATTACATTTCTCGCTTTGAAAAACAAACAATTGATTCAGATTATTATCATTACAATTATTGTCATTATTAATACTAACATTATTATTACTACTATTATTGTCATTATTGTTATTATTATCATTATTATTATTTTCCACATTATTCACCCTCTTTTATACTTATACAGCGGCTCGTCTTTGGTGGAAATCCGACTGTATCTAAACGTTCTCGAGTCACTGTCCGGTTGAAAATTGTATGCTACCACCGAATACGAGGACTGAAGCAGTTTTTCTGAAACCACGCGCACCATTCAAACTGGCTGCCTTCAACGTTCGCGCACTTATGCAGGTCGGACAACAGATAGGGCTGGCTATGTCTTTGGAAAGTCTTAATATTGATGTTTGTTGTCTATCCGAGACCCGTATTCAAGACTCTGGCGAAGTACTACAAATTCGATCTCCATCTGTCGCTTCGAAAAGCTTGTTTTACGTGCGCTTATCCGGGGACCCTGTGGCATCTTCGTCTGGTCTTGCTGGCGTTGGTGTCGCACTAAGCGCTAGAGCTGAGGCAGCACTAGTCGATTGGATCCCCATTAACAGTCGGTTATGTGCTGTTAGATTAGAAAGTTCCATCAAAGTGAGAAGAAATCGGCGTGAGAAACGATGTCTTTTCGTCATCTCCGCCTATGCCCCGACAGATTGCAGCCCGGATGCAATCAAGGATGAGTTTTACCACCAGTTATCTGTTCTTCTCCAGAAAGTGCGTTCGACAGATATTGTAGTACTAGCCGGAGACTTGAATGCTCAGGTCGGGCGTCTAGGCACAGAAGAGAGTCGTTTAGGTGGCCGATGGGGACTCGTTGGTCGCAGGTCAGATAACGGGGACCGTCTACTGCAACTTTGCACAGACCACAACCTGTTTCTGGCTAGCACTAACTTTCGGCACAGTCATCGCCGATGTGCCACCTGGCGTCCTCCCTCTGCATCTCAAGCCTGGACTCAGATTGATCACATCGCGATCAGCTACCGCTGGCGTGGTTGTGTAAAAGACTGCCGCTCCTTTTGGAGTACCTATCTGGACTCTGACCATGCCTTGGTCTGCGCCAATCTTGCCTTACTTTTCAGTGGCCAACGAAGTGACCACCACCAAAAGATTGATGTTAGCAAGCTGGTTGCAACTTCTGTTGCAAGTAAGTATCGAACCGAGCTAGCCTCTAGGCTAGCTACCACTCCACCGAAAAGTATAGATGAGCATTGGTTGCAATTGCATGACGCCATGAAAATGGCGGGAACAGTCAGTTGTGGGTTTGCGAAACGTCCCGCTTTTAAGCACTGGGTTTCTCCAGGTTCCTTACAACTCATTGAAGCCCGTCGGTCTACTCCGGGTGACCGTGAGTTTGACCATAAACGAAGGATGTTACGTAAGGAAATTGGGCAAAGCTTGCGTAAGGACCGAGAAGCCTGGTGGTCGATGCGTGCTAATGAGCTGGAAGCAGCAGCTGCATCTGGTAACTACCGGAAGCTCTTCCAGCTCATCCGAGCCACTGGCAGCAAGAAGTCTGGTGTGAGTGAAACAATCTGCGAGGATGATGGGATGCCAATCACTAACATCCATCGACGTCTTGGACGATGGGCAGAATTTTTCGAAGGGCAGTTCAACTGGCCTGCTGCTCCGGCAACATCGGTCAGACTGTCCTGCCCTCCATGGCCGGTGACGACTGATCCACCAAATGAGGAGGAAGTCCGCAAGGAACTCCAACTCTTGAAGCGTTACAAATCACCTGGCCCAGATGACTTACCTCCGGCTCTTTTTAAAGATGGTGGTGACTTTTTGACTAAGGAATTGACGACGTTGTTTACAAAGGTTTGGGAACTAGAGAGTGTACCAACGTCATGGAATGAGTCGATAGTTGTCCCTATCTTTAAAAAGGGTTCACGTCGTTCTTGTAACAACTATCGGGGGATAAGTTTACTTCCGATTGCGTCCAAGCTATTGGCTTCCGTCATTCTTCGTAGGTTGTTCAAAACCCGAGAAAGATTGACTCGCGAGGAGCAGGCTGGGTTTCGTTCCGGTCGAGGATGTATTGATCATATCTTCACCCTCCGCCAAATGTTAGAACACCGCCATACTTTTCAAAGGCCAACAATCGTAGTGTTTCTTGACATTAGGGCTGCCTTCGATTCGTTGGATAGGACTGTTCTCTGGGATTGTCTATTGAGGAAGGGTGTGCCTGAGAAGTTTATTAACATCCTAAAAGCCCTGTATAAAAACACCTCAAACAGAGTGAGGGCATACAACCACCTCTCTCCATTGTTCCATTCGAGCAGTGGGGTTAGGCAGGGTTGCCCAATCTCACCATTCCTCTTCAACTTTGCCATCGATGACATTCTGGAAACAGCTCTGATGAATGTAAGTAATGGTGGTGTGGATCTGTTGCCTGGAGAAAGACTTCTCGACCTTGAGTATGCGGACGATATTGTCTTACTGTGCGATAATGCCCAAGGCATGCAATCCGCACTTAATCAGTTGGCAATCAGTGTCCGTAGGTATGGTATGTGCTTTGCACCTTCGAAGTGCAAAGTACTTCTACAAGACTGGCAGGATTCTAACCCTGTACTCACCCTGGATGGTGAGCAGATAGATGTAGTTGAGAAGTTCGTGTATCTGGGTAGCTGCATAAGTGCTGGTGGGGGTGTGAGTGATGAGATCAATGCACGAATAGTGAAAGCCAGAGCGGCTTATGCCAATCTGGGCCACCTTTGGCGCCTTCGTGATGTTAGTCTGGCTGTAAAAGGCCGGATCTACAACGCGTCGGTGAGAGCAGTTTTGCTCTATGCTTGTGAAACCTGGCCTCTCCGAGTTGAGGACGTTAGACGACTCTCTGTGTTCGATCATCGCTGTCTCCGAAGGATTGCTGACATTCAGTGGCAACACCATGTCAGTAATGCAGAAGTTCGGCATCGTGTGTTCGGGCACAGAGATGATAATTCAATTGGTGTCACCATCTTGAAACACCGACTTCGGTGGCTTGGACATGTTCTCCGAATGTCGTCCCAGAGAATTCCACGTCGTGCATTATTTGCCGACTCTGGGACTGGTTGGAAGAAGCGGAGAGGTGGTCAGTGCATGACATGGTGTCGTGGTATGAAAGAAAGCTGCAAAGGACTGGCTTGTGTTGGTCCTTCACGACTCCCTGGCTGGGGTCCGAGAGATGGTGCTACACAGTGGCTAGAGACCTTATCAGATATGGCTGAGAATAGAAGCCAGTGGCGATCCTGCTGTAACCTTCTTTTACTTTCTTCATAAAAAGTGGTTGTGTCTTCTTTAACTGAAAGATTTCTTCTGATTGTACCTTTTCGTTCCGTCGTTACTACCACACTACCTTACTCCAATCTCTTCGTCATTGTTCTCTTTTCCTTTTGCGCTCCTTAGTTTTTTTTTTCTACTTCTCTTCGAATTCTCATTGTTTTGTGTGGCGCATATATATTGGCGCTCTCTTGTACCAATATTTATGTGTTCAAATAAATAAATAAATAAATAAAATTATTGACCCTGATTCTTCTAATTAATAAAGATCTATTACAAGTATTTGAAAAATTACTAGCCGAACCAAATTTCATTTCCAAGTTCCTAAACAGAGCAAATCGTTTAGTACAAAGTCATTAAGCAGAATAATCAATTTTCTGGATACGTTTTATGAGAACTTCAAGGCAAATCCTAAACACATCTAAATTCCGAATGGAGTTAGTGGCTCTTCAAGATTGTGTCTACTTTTAGACATGTCATACCCACGGTTTGTTCTTATACAGTAGCCATTATTTAGAACTAAAATTATTCAAGATAGTATAGTTTGGTCTTTCTGATCTATGCGCCTTATACTTGGCTCTCAATAAGAACAGTGCAAGAATATGCACGCAACCAATAGCATGAAAAATTCATAAGTAATTCGGAACTAATAATGACCAATTAACATAAATATAAACAGAATATAGATCGAAATCATGAAGGTTTCTTAATGAATGTGACAGAAACTGTGTTTTCGTGGTAAACAGTACAAGTACAGTTCTGTTACATTAGATTTCACCTAGATAACTACAAACTTAAATACACCAAATTTTACTACTGAAAATTCGTAACATTATTTTCAGAAAATAATTCCAAGAATCAGGTTTTTGAGAAGTTTACATATTATCAATATCCAGGGACTAAAAACCAGTTTACTTAAACAGGAAAAAATCCTTTAACTACCATGGAGGAACACATGTACGGTCTGAATTCCTTTCCAGAAGGCAAATTGAGCGAAAGGCTGTTCCAGCTGGAAAGAATAACTGAATTTTTATTTTCAGGATCCAAGCACAAAGACGCATAGCTTAGTCGATCGGTCGTAACTTCGATGGTGCAGCACGACTCAATTATCTAAAGACTATGAATTAAGTATTATTCACTTACTCCACGATGCTTAGCTGTTATATGAGGTTGAATCAAAGTAGATGCCGTGTTCAAACTTCGTCCGAGCAATAAATAGACAGGACGATGAGAATAGAGTGCTATCATCACTGGCACATTTGTTGTATAACGAGTCGGTGAAGACGCTAGCTGAATTGTTTTCGTGCTGAATACTTTCCAGTGAGCTACCTCGAAAAATATATTGGGTTGGACTTATTGGCGAATCTTTTGAAATTAAATGGTAATTGGTCAGGATCGTTATAAAAAATACCATTTATTATAGTTGGTTAAATGAATACATTAAGTGAAACCTTGAAAAATGGCTAAAAGAGCTATGGGTCAAAATATTTTAACCCGCTGTAGTTAGCAATACTTATTTATTTACTGATTTGAACACATAAACGTTGGTAAGAGGGGCACTATATACATATGCGCCACACAAAAACAATCGGGACAGTAGTTATCACTGATTTATGTGAGGAATGTGATACTGCCCGGGTGCTCAGACCGAAGCAGAAGAAAACAATAAGTGTGATATCACTACAAAATGAGTCTGTATTAACAGAGTTCACTTGAAAAACTTGGGAAACTGAGCAATACAATAACATAATGGCACAAATGTACTCACTTATTATCTACCTCTTAATCTTGAGTTCGAGTTTTCTCCTACACATCTTTCAAATATTGGCGAGACTACAATTTATGGACGAACCAATCAGATTTACGATAAAAGGTCTTGAGTTTTGGTATTATGGCTGATGTCACTCCGTGATGAAAGCCCTAAATCGAATTCCTAGCCCTAACTACCAACTGTAAATATTGATCCTAACTCCTCACACAGGTTTATAACCCGCAGTTAGCCGATGTAGAAGAACGTTATCAAGGTCTTTCTAGAGACGCTCAAGGATCGTCCATAAATCATAGTCTCACCGAAAGACGTACACCGCTGATTCAAGAGTTCTCAATCTTGATAATAGCTTTTCTTTGAGATCTCACGTGAAACTTACAAAAATTACTTTGATGAGCTTTTCTACATATATCATAAATAATATGTATTGATCGAGAATTAAGTGTGAAATGAGGATCAAGAACGTTAGGTTCGGTCAGTCATCATTAGCGTGGAAACCTCCCAACCTCCCGATTCTGGGGTTTCCCCCAAAGTAAAATGACAATCAGCAGTTTTCATCAAAATTTGGGGATTTTGTGCTATTTTCCCGAAATTTCTTTAAAGTGTCTTCCTCAAAATGTGTAGATTGGGCTATCAGGTGTGCATCAGCCTGTTACTTCATCATATCAGAACAGCGACACAAAATTACTACGATGAATATAAAATTGGTAGAGGTGATATAAAGGGAAGTGAATAAGATCAGAGAACACGATCCAAGAATAAATAATCCACTGTACATAAAGCAATCTCAGAAAATATTAAGCATATACTCTGATTGATAGCTACCTACATCTGCAGAGGTTCATACTGTAGTGAAAGTAAATAACCACCTGTATCGTAAAACTAGTCAAACAACGAATGTTTAGTCATAATAAAGAAAAATAGTACACCAGTCTACAAACCTCGCGAAAACACTACATCATACATGTATTTTACTTCCCTATGACAATATATCCGGATAACTACTAGCGAGATTTGTAGTGTAAAGTAATACGAACTATCTTCAAGATTACTAAGGATCTGAGGTGTTGCGTGACCTTCTTTTGTAGTTACCTGTTGCAAAAACTTAAATGATTGTGTTTAGCCATTATATTTTTGTGTAAACAATCCGTAAGATGACTAAACGAGCATGTGGTCAATACTAAACACCGCCATCGTCAACTTGTGCGCATGACACATTGATAAATGAACCTCGCGCAAAAATCCAAGGCTTGGTATCGCAAATCTCATCGGTTCGTCCATAAATTATAGTCTCACTGTTAGTAATAACTATCCATATTGATAAACATAAACCATGTTACAAGTAACAAGACTAAGCCAATTTTAATTGGTCACGTAACACTAACGCTCACGTTAAAGATTTACGGCACAATAATATGTTATGCTCTGTATGACCAGCATTTTGTGACCAAGCAATATGAATCAATTGACCACTTTCCTCCTATTTTTCGGTGTCCCAGTAGCAGTTCCAGGCTTATCGTATAGTCTAACAAAGTTTTTTCTAGCCTCTTTTATACGATAATTTCAGTGATAATGGGTTTCAATATAAGATATCTGTCACTAACTTGGGTAGACCGACTGATTTCTTCGCGTTCACTTCATTTTGTTTCGGTGCGGTTACGTGTATTCGGTAATGTCCAGTCGTTTATAATCTAGCTATTCGACCTAACTAATTCTAATCCGTTTGTTAGTTGTTTGTGGATTCCTATAGCCTGTAGTTTGAGTGAGTGCGTTTGTCTTACGACTATAAGGTTTCTGGGTTCCAACAGTTATCACAATTCTGGGAAGAAGCTTGATTATTTGCAATGCGCGAAATAACAAAAACTCAGTTCGAATGAAGAAGAGATACGAGAAGATATATTTATCAATAAGTCAGTTAATTTATTAATCAAACGCTGTGATTGTATAGAAGAGTATAAATAGCAAGCTAACGTAGGTGCTAAGAAGCAAAATAAGAGTAAGTTACTGATATCTGTTGATAATACTAACAGGTAAGTTACGAGACAATCATCAGGTACATCTGGTCCAGGGGGGATGGCATTCCATAGACAGGTATGTGTTTATCAAGTCTTCTCTCGAAGCTATCAGCCAAGTGGTCTGTGGCCACTCTAGCTGGGGGGTATTCCAGATGGAGGTAAGTCTCAAAAGTGGGAGGTTACCTGAGATTTTAATCCTTGACATGCACTTTCAGGAGTTTTCCAGAGTAGCGTGATAATGATGTCTTGGTAGGGTGTATAGTAAGGGCGATAAGTTGTTTTTACATCAAGAGTGGAGTTGCCTTGGTTGCATCCTCAACATAGTTTGAGAGGGTGTTCATGGCCTTTTCAGATGCTAGCCTAAGATCGCTCTCCAAGGAAACAAGTGACAGCGGTTCTCCATGTGAGACGTAAGTTGTTTGTTTCCCATGAAGCAGAATGGTCGCAAAATGGCGAGAGTTTTAGTTGTAACCCATCATTTACTGCCCGTTTCTTCAGGTGTAAGACCCTTTTTGAGCTCAAATGAATCCTTTGCACCTTTTGCGGACACTCATAAAACCACGTTGCATGCACAGTTTGGTGTCGCTTAGCTAATTTTATCGGTAAGGTCATTCATAATGAACATGGAAAGGAGTGTACCTGTGGTGGCACTGGTTTCTAAACACAAGATCTTTGAAGCAAAGCATATAATTAATGAGATTTTGTGGTGTTTGAATTAACTAATGATTCTTTTGTACTTGTTGAATGCTCGATTTCGAATTCTAAATACAGTACATTCGTTGTGCCTGTGTCTTCTTAATTCAATTGCGTTAATCCTGGAATTCCTAATTCATACTATAATTAGAATACTATATTGGCGTCGCGATGGAGCCTGCAATGGAAAAGTTAGATATTCATTCAACTTCAGAAGCTTTTGAAGATTACTTTGAAAGGTTCGAAATCTGGGCTATGACCAAGGAAGATGATGAGGATGTTAATATTGTGGCACACTTCCTCACATTCATTGGAAAAGAAGCATACAGCTTATTAAGAACTCTGGCTATGCCGGAAAAACCCATTTCGCTTTCTTATACAGCTCTCAAGGATCTACTGCTAGACTATGCTCAGTATACAAATTTCAAATGTCGTAAAGGAGGAAGATTTCGTAAAATGATTCATGAGGATATAAAAAAGTCCACTACATTACTACGTCATCTCAACCTAGTGCATACTCAAGGTTATGCAGACAATTCATTGAATTTGGATGGAGTTCACGAGGATGGGGACAAGTTTGGTCAGTGTTTGTCCTGTTGCAAGTTCCACTCTTCTAATTCATGTAAATTTCATAATTCTAAATGCTTCAAATGTCGTGATATTGGACAAGTTCAGTCAGTTTGTAATGCTAATGTTCATCTTACTGCAATTAATATTAAGTCTTGTAATTCTGATTCTACTGAGTCGAGTATTCATGATGATCATTTATCTTTATCAACGATTTCAAAAGACAGTGCAGAGTCATATGGCAGTTCAGAGTTAAATGAAATCCAGAATTCTTGTGAGACAACATTTCCTAATCAACCGATTTATCAGAATTCTCATGCTATTGTACCAAGTATGACTTTTCCTAATGATTCACATATTTCTAATGAAATTACTTGCAATTCTGAGGAAAATATGTTAAATGAACCTAATCATGATCGAAAACCTGATGTGGTTTGGATAGATGCTGATTTTTCTAACGATCCTACGCTCTGCAACGACAGTCCTGATGAATTTCATGAGAATATTTCAGAAGAATCAAATCCTGATGTCATATCATATATTACCTATCCTCATAATGTATTTGATCTTCGTGAAAAACCTGCCCAATGCGAAGCACGAGTACTAAGTGACCTCGAGTTTTATTATATTTCGGATGATTTCATATCAACTGCTGTTTACTCTTATCACAAAAACAGTTCTAATGTTTACTCTAAACAATGTGAGATATATGTTTTAAATGAAGCCACATTATTCATAACTTGGGAGTATAAAGATCCAACATTATTTCGTGGGGGGGGGATAGTGTTGAAAAATCTATGGTTCGAATTCTAGATATTAATGATTTCATTACAAAACCGACATGCTGGTTGTATACAATTCCAGGTGAGTCTGTTCCGATTTCGTTTGTTAATTCCAATACTAATGAGCACTTTCTAGATACTACAAAGTTTTTATCTTATACAATGTCGGACAGACTCAGGATGAACTTAACAAGAAGACGTACAACCGATTACAAACACTTATACTTCTATTTAAGCTGTGGCGGATGTGGTGTTTGAATTAACTAATGATTCTTTTGTACTTGTTGAATGCTCGATTTCGAATTCTAAATACAGTACATTCGTTGTGCCTGTGTCTTCTTAATTCAATTGCGTTAATCCTGGAATTCCTAATTCATACTATAATTAGAATACTATAGATTTACACTCAACATGTAATGCTAAGAGAAGGTCGAAAATGGTGAATGTGGGAACAACTGATGAGTATGACATGGCTCAGTCTTGCAGGCTTGGTAACTCTGCGTGACTCATTCCTTTCCACATGAAATATATTATTCTGTCTCCAACCTAGATATGTTCTTCAAGAGTACTAAGCATCACGTTGCTGATTGTTACGATAGGATGAGTTAGTATAGGCCGTGCTATGACTTCCACATAAGATCGTATAGATTAGGTAGTCACATAATGACATTATGGCGTTATGTCTGTTATTACAATAAAAGATAAATGTCCTGATACCTAACTAAGCTATAATTTTACATACCAACAGGGGTTCCTCGTGGAACTCTTGGCACGAAGATCCTCCAGCTAGCATGCACTCTACTAAACTTGGTAGGGAAATACCTGTTCTCCATGTTGTTTAAGAGTCAACAGGGTGTCGGTTTGGTGCATCCTATTTTCACATTCTTCTCTATGGGGAATACATGTATTACTGATAAGACATACAAAGTAATGTGTTAAAGTTGACGTATTTGATGAACGATTATGGATTTACCATGTAACGTGGTGACATGAACTATCATGGGCCTTACTTGCATCAATTCTTAACCGCAACTTGTTCACACTAACGTGACTTTCATAAAGTGAGGCAGCTTATAGACAGGACATTCAGGTTTGACTGACATTCGTTTTCTTATGCACTCAAACCTACTTCACTGTTTCTATGATTAGTGTGTCTTATAACACACCAACCTAAGTAACTTATTACAGAAAATCACGTAGCAACTGTGGCACTCTGGTCTTACCAGCAAGGTGACATGTCTGGCGTAACATATTTACTTGACAATAAATCATTAATATTACATCAGTGTACCATTTTGTTTTGATATTTGGGAAGTTTTCCGGGGTCCTAAAACTTGAAGGCTTTTTGAGGAAGTCGTGGTAATCATTATTAAAACAACATGTTTGGGTTGATTGCTTGCAACTTAACTCCGCCTGTAGCTCCTCTTAAGTTGCTGCCGGTCCCAAGCCCGTGTAAAAGATGGAAGATTGGGTATGGGGTTGGCAACTCCATCCCGTAGAAAACTAACTAGCTAAAAAAGCGCCAACCACATTAAACAAACTGAACCTTTTAAACTTTGTTCTGGGAGTCGAAGGAAGAAATATGACGCCTCATGTGGAAAGCCGAGTTCCTTCGGGAGTCACAAGGCAGATGCTACTTCTAACAATCAAGGTAACAATGTTTATAGGTAAATGGAACGTCCGGACAATTTGGGTGACCAGTCAAATAGCAACGGAAATGAGGAAATACAATTAGGCAGTACTGGTAATCAGCGAAATCCATCGGACACAGACTGGACAACAAAGGCTAGATATAGGAGAGATGCTACTATACTCCGGTCACGAAGAGGAAATGCTCCGCACACGAAGGGAGTTGCTCTAATGCTGTCCAAAGAAGCACGAAATGCACCTGTAAGATGGGAATCCCATATATCCGGAATTATCAAAGCATCATTCAAAAAAAGGAGGGGAGCGAAATGAATGGTATCCAATGATATGTGTAACGGAAAAAGAACGATGAAAATCCCTGCGCAGCTTTTTGGTTGGACAGTACTGTCATTTACTTGTCTCTTCTCCCTGTCGTGTATTTTAACCTTTGTTCAGATCTCATCTAACCACACCTTTAGTTCCTCAGTCTTCCTCGTCTAATCCCTTATCATGTGATTTTGATTAAAGATTTATCTTTTGTTACCTAATTTTCTATTGCATGTTGCCGGACTATTGACATCAAGGTCGTGTTTGACTAAGCTCCAGGTCACGGCGTGGTTCAGTGTATGACTGTTAACCTTTTAACTGTTTGCTTGTGAGGGTTGCTGGAATCTCTGCAGATAGACATTTGATCGCATATTAATAATAATAATTTATTCTCAAATAACAGTTTGTTACATGAGGCATGCCAGTTTACAGGCAAGATCAAATTGATACAAATGATGCAATATACACTGTATTAAATTACATAGCTGGGTTGATAATTTATAAAATATGAATGTAGATGGTTTTAATCAGTACTACAGTTGGCGCGCTTCACGAGAGTTGCGTTGCGAATGTGCGACTGATGGTCAAGGATAGGTCCATTGAAGGTATGAACTTCTAGAAATCGCAACCTTATGTCCCTTTGGGATATCCAAGGCTTTAAGGATGGTGCAGGATGAAGTAACCCGTTCCATATCTCAAGGGGGCTGAAAGAGGGAGCAAGTAAAAGAAAACACGAGAGGCAAAGTAGCCAATATTCATGCGGAATGTTTAAGATATAATTACTCAGTCTAATTTTCTTTTATTAAGGTATTTGTTAAGAAAGAGCATTTTAATAGGTTAAAGAAAATAAGTGTTAGCAAGGTGTGAGTAGACATACAACTGACAAATGGAGGCGATTCGGAAAAGAGCTGAGAGCATAAGATTATGTGTGATTATAAAATAAAATATAGTGCTAGAAACAGCATTGTGATATACAACTGGCTATCTTCCTTTTATTATCGAAGCTATTAGAGCCCCTTTCGTTTTTTTTGTTTTTTTTTTTCAGGTTTTATAGAGTCTCGAGTAGGCTTCGTATATTAGCGAATTGTCTAGTTTGCTTGTAATAGGATTTCTGAGTAGGAAGTGAAACCAATTCAACGTTCGTAACACGATTTAAAGAGGTATTTTGCGTGATAAATAAGCTTCAATACCATAAGTCCGTGACATCCCACTAAACCATAAGGAGCCGTAATTAAACAAAATGTTCTGCCCTACAGACATGGGTGGATTGAAGTTATCTCCCCACCTTCATGTTTGCTGGTCAGTAACGCCACCCTCCCTCCTTTTGTGATGTTAGGCTCTCTTACGTTTGTGGTAAGTATGATTAATGCTTTAATCAAAGCACATAGTTGGAATACACTGTGGAATCGAGTACAATGTCTTTGAAGACGTCTTCTTGTACTGACCGGTATATAGAGATCTTTGGAGAACGTAGGTTTACAGTATTCTAAAGGTGCGATGTTGTTGATGATACTTTTGATGTTGAGATAAAATATATTGGTTAATGTGTCGGTATTGTTTGAGGTAAAGAAAGTTCTCCAATCAGTGCTTCTTAGGTAATTGTGGAAGTTATTCCAATCAACCTTGCGATAGTTTCTACGAAGTGTTACGGTTTTACTTCTATCGGTTGTGGTTTTCACATTAAGGCTGCATATGACAATGTTATGATCACTACCTGGGAACTTTTTTCCAATATACAAAGTATTGGGGATGAGGCCACTGGTAAAGACTAAGTCTAAGATGTTCTGATGTCTGGTAGGGCTATCGACATACTGAGTCCATTGTCCAAGCTCTAGACATTCAATAAATGATTCATAACGTCTCGGCGCTTTGACTGGCAGCCAAGAAATTTCGGGCATATTGAAGTCACCACAAATGAGCTTGCCTGTGAATGAGAGGGATGATGCTAGTGTGAATACCTCCGATAATACTGCTATTTCATCTATTGATGCGTTAGGTTGACGATAAACACAGCCGAGCAGTAAGGTAACGGAATTCGACGGCTTTAATACAATCCACACCGAATCCTTCAGTTTGTTTAGTTCAGGCATATCACATAGCAGTGAGTTCAGGCTAGAGTGAGCGTAAATAAGGCATCCTCCGCCTCGTCCATTCAATCTATCGCTTCTATATAGGGAATAGTTATCTAGAGATATGCTTCGGTCGGAAATATTACTGTTAGTCCATGCTTCAGATATCATAATAACTGATGGTTGATATATGGATACAAACAGGGCTAAATCCGTCTTTTTGTTGCAGATCGATCGAGCGTTGATAAGACATATATTAAGCAAGTGGCCTACTAAGTTAAAATGGGTGAGGGTATCTCGGATAAAGTCGTCGTAACCCTCGAGAGTGTAAGATGAGTTTGATGTGAGGGATTGAATGTTCTTCATTAGCTCGGTATTTTGATAGTTAAACTTATTGGGAGATGTATCAAATGAGCTGGTGAAGTTGATTGGGGAGTTTACCCAGGAGGAAAGGGTGGGAGTACTCTGTGATGGAAACTGTACGGAGGAAACAAATTTATGGTTTGCATGTGGTTTGAAATAACCTGGGCTATATGTTTC